CTCGGCAGAATTATACAAAACTCGTAAAAGGGAAATACAGAAGGGTAAAAGGGTACTATGTGTGAAACTATAGAAGCGAGGATTTAATAAAAGGATTCTTTTTAACCAACCCTGATTGCTACGGGAACAAAAACACCAACCCTGCTTTTCACAGGGTTTAAAGATTGCTACACATCTTCGGAAAGGGTTGCAAAACAGCTGGTCTTCCAAAATTAAGGTATACGTAAAAGAAATTGGCTTTTAGGAAGGGGAATCAATGCAACATACCCTTGGAAAAATGTCCATGATTTCGACTTGGTGGAAATGGCAAGAATGAAACGTACAATTTGGTGCTTGTATTTGTCATTATATAAGCACATGGGCTTATACCTATACCAGGGCTCTTGTTAGGTTTTGGGCCTGTCTGACAGTATATATATATTTTTTTTCGTCTGACGCCAAGATCACCAACTTTCTGCTATCTGACTCTTAAGACAAAAATTTCTATGAAGTCTGATCCATCATACGAAATAACTTCCCCGGTCTGAACCTACTACAAAGTAATAATACGTTGAATTTCCTACTTAGCCTAACTATGCCATACATCTATCAACGTGTTAAGCAGTTAGCACATCCTAGACAACCTAGTCAAGTGTCACGATCGCTCCTGTCTTCATCATCAGCCTAGTCAGAGTCACTATCGCCGCTGTCTTCGTCATCATCGGTGTCATCCTCGATTTCCGCAAAAGGGTCAGGAACTTTTCCTTGTCCTTCCGACTGAGCCAGGGATACTCTACATCAAGCTTTGCGACTTCTACTGCTAGGGCTGCTTCTCGGGCTGCAGCTTCTGCTGCTGCCAATGCTGCGGCTGCTGCTGCTGCTGAGGCAGATCTTTTCTTTGCGCGCTTGCTTTGTCTCTCCTCGGAAGCCATCAGCACATCCTTAGCAGGCCTGCGTTTCTTGGAAGCATTAATCCTCTTCCGTAACTCCGGCCACTCCATGTCATAGCTAAGAAGCGAGATGGTCATCGGCTCCCCTAGCTTCGCGTCACACAGGTTCCCGCAAAGCTAGCTCTTGATTACATTCTGCCGAGAGAAGCCGCGCTCGCACTCCACCGTGCTGAGCGGAAGAACGGCGACGGCGATCCACAGGTGCACGAGATTCAGGTAGCAGGTCGTCCTATCAGGAGAGGGCATCATGAGCTTCTGGCTGTCCGCAAAGCTCACATCCTCCTGGTGTGTGGCCATGATGGTAGAGAATGTGACGTGCTCCCTCTATGCGAGCGCCCAGTTGATGCCTGTGGGTTGGGGTCCGCAAAGGGGAGTAGGTGCAACAAAATGAGTCAATCTGGTAAAGAATGAAATGCATTAATTTGGTTAAGCAACGATAACATACGCATGAATGTTGAAGGATCTTACGCACCTGGTAGAGTGTCAAGGTCTTTAGGCTTCCTCTTAAACATATTGCGCAGAGACTACAGCCACTGTCCGAGTTTCCGCTCGCGCTTCGCTTGGCTCTTGGGATATGAGCCCTGCTTGAACAGCTTCGCCCCGTCAAGGTTGGCTAGGTCCTTGAGGCAGTAGTCGAGCCTACCGATCAAGGTCGCCACGAATGCGCGCGCCAGCTTTAAACACGCACCGTGGCTCGCACGGCTCTTCTACCCATCGATGGGTTCCTCGTTGAGTGTATAGCGAAGGTTGGACGAAGTACCGTCAGACGACGTGCTTGCCACCTTCACCTCTCTCTTTTCCCTGGATGCGTGCTTCTTGAGAAAGGGGCCCAGCGCATCTCCGCCCTGTCCAAAGGACTCGTCGTCGTTGTCGAGGTAACGAGTGCGCAACAGCAAAGTCATGTTGTGTACCATCGGCAGCACATGGGTCGCGTCAACCTGCAAACAAGCACAAGAGAGGTTAGTACTTAACTCGAGGTTAAAAATAAACGAGTATCATGCATAACATACGCTTACCTAGCGACGCTGGAACTTCAAGCTCAGAAGGTTGAGCTCCTTCAGCACATCCGCTAGGAAAAACATCATGAACTAAAACTTGTAGCTAGTGATGACCTTGTACATCTTGTTGTCGAACTCATGCAAGACAAACGCTGCCGCCGAAACACTTTCACCAGGTCTCCCGAGAGCTTGACCGTGAGACAACCAGCGCACGTCCTTGATCCCTTGAACTTCGAGGTTGGTCTCACAGATGACCTCCTGCAGCTCAATAAAATGGGCGTGGACGACCAAAGAACGTCTGAGGTTTTCAGCAACGGACCGAACGACCTTGTCCATGACGTTGAAGTCCGGGTGTTTCGGTGCTGCATCTTTGGCTGCCAAGGCCTCCCTGCAACCCATATAACGAAACATTAGAAATAAAAAAACGATCACGCCCGGGTTAACAAATTGCACGAGGACACTTGCCTGTGCGCGATGCAACGTGACGACACGATACGTGGAACCTTCTCTTTGAGGTGCGCGGTCACTCCGTTGTGCTGGCCGATCATGACACTAGCTCCATCAGTGCTCATACCGGCGATTCGCTGGAGATTGATGCCGCTACACTCCAAATGGGTAAGGAGAACCAGCGTCATACTGCTCCACAGTCAGCAATGCATAGAACACGGTGACGGCAGCGTTGTCACGCATGAAAGTCATGTAGACGATCATGTGTTTCCCCTTCCGTCGGTCGGTGCTCTCGTCCAGCTGGATTCCAAGGTAAGGACTCTCGTGGATGTGTTTCAGCTGGCGGGATTTCAGGTAGCACACCATGGTCTCGACCAGTTGTGCGAAGCCGTACCTGAAAAATGCAGGGATATTAACATTAGCATCTATGCGATTACAAAACCTTAGAACAAGACGAACGGGACACTTACTCGCTGTAGTACGTGCCGTTCTCCTTAAGGGGCAGATCCAGAGTCCCCATGCTCAGCCGTGAACTATACGAGTGACACGAAGAGCACAATGGGCGCGTCAGATTTACAAATGAGTAAGACAATGGACATCGAACGAGCAAGGCGCTCGACATCCTCGTCCCATTGGTGAAAGTCCGCAATGGACTTCTGTCCTTTCTTTGCTCCGTCACGTTGCTCCTTCCTCAAGACCGCCGCCTCATGCTTCACGCTGTGGTGATGCTTGCGCATCGTCTGCTTCTGAATGTTGGTGCCACCAACACCGTAGCGCCCATACTTGGAATGGGGGTCGGCGAAGACCATGCAGATGCTGCAGCGCATGCAGGGTCGGCCATCCTTGGTTTCGGAGATGAATAGCCAGGGAACGTATCGCTGCCACTGCTCCTTGCACTTCAGCTGAAGCTCCTCAACCGATAACTGCTTGCCTTTGGGGTCCTCGAAGTCTTTAGCTGCCGGTTCGGGAGCAACGGGTCGCACCTCCACAGACGGTGCCGGCTAAGTCGGACCGCCTGGACGCGCGAAGTTCAGAACACGCTGCTTGTACCGTTGCTTTGATGACCTGTCGGGCAAGACGGGGTTAGCCTTAAGAGAGGATTTCGTAGCGTCAGATACTAAACGGACGTTCTTTTCGGCACTGGAGGGCGGCATGCAGGTAGATACTGGCGTAGTAGGTGTAGCGGTCGATGGAACAGAATTGTCGCCATTTTCTGACAATGGCATATCATCAACGGGCGAAGGTACCGCAGCAGGTGTTGAAGCAATCGGAGGGGCGACAGGGGCGATCGGCTTGCCCCGTGTTAGGAAGTCTAATGCCAAAACCAGTAGCGGTGGGGTCGGCCATAGCCTAAACTAGATGAAAGAAGCTGTGACGAGGGAAATAGACCATGCTCGGCTGGGTGACAAGTGAGGAGGACGAGCTCCACAAACAACCTATTTAACAAGCCTCGCTCATCTGCATGAAACCCCGTCATCGTGCAGTGTACATCAAAAGGCGATGCGTGATGGGAGCGGCGGACAGGACAACCACCGTCCATTGTTACGTAACGTGTAGGAAAGGGAAGTGCGCTGGCTCAATGTGACAGCGCGTTGCCATGGCTGTGGCTGGCGTCGCCGCCGACAACCAGCTACACGACAGTCTCCTGGCAGCAAATGTCACAGGTTCGTGACAGCGAGGCTGCTACAAGACACGCACATTGAATGCGCGTGCAGGTATAGGGCAGCAACCATACTTGTACCTGTGGTCCTATGGTCCACTGGGCATATGGCCTAGTGGTCCTATGGCCTAGTGGGCTAATTTGTCGGTTTCAGACGAAACCGAACTCGATATCTGTAAATTCAGACGAAGTATTCTACATGGTCTTGAAAATCATACAAACGTAAAGCCTTTGTTTTGCTCCTCAGATGAGGAAAAACAGATTTTCTTAGAAATCAGATGAATACAAAAAATCACGTCTGGAATTCAGAAATTCAGACCAAATTGGTCTGATAACAAGAGGCCTGCCCTAAACTCAAGTAAAAGCGCCCCTTTGTAAAAAACCATTTTTACAAGCGCACTTGCGTTACTATCAAGGGTACTACACAATATAAATATCTAGGAAATAGACAACATTCTTCTAATAATAAGGACCCTCATGCAGATTGGCATATCGTATCCAAAGTCATATTTACGGCACACAAATAAACCTGGTGCCTACACTCCCAACACACTTCTTCTCATTGTACATGTAGTATTTTGAAATGGCTCCATTCTGAGCTCCACCATAGAAGCTATATGCACCTGAGCACGTCAATGATGGTGATACTGGTTTTTGCTTACCCTTCTTGCATATGCCGACGTCGAATGACCAATACTCTACGCGCAGGCAAATCTGCAACGGCGCCATTTACAGCCACAAGGAGTTCAAGGAACATATAGTGAGGGAGTAAAAGAAAGAGATTGGCACAAAAAGAACGATATTGCAAAAAAAAATGGTTAAGGGCAAATAGTTGGAACAAAGGGCTTACGAATCTTGCATCAAGAGCACATGAGGGACGACCTTTGCACTCTCACCCATCAAACACCCCTTCATTCCACAGTTTTCCCTCCACCTTCTCCTCCCATCTCTCTTTCCTGGTCTATTCTACCCTCCACCACTCACCTGCACGCCGGTGTTGCTTCCAACAGCAGAGGCGGTGATCGGGATGACATCGGAGCAGATGAGGCCGGAATTGTTGCGGTACAGCTCAGCCCAGCGCATGGCATTCACCTCCCCTGCCCCTGTTGGGTCGCCCTCACTCCCCGCCACCTGCCGCAGCAGGCGCTCGCAGGTGTCCTGTGGTGTGAGCATGCCGTATTGCGAGCACTGAGGGACCGTGAAAGCGAAGGTGGCATTGCGTTCGACACACAGAGAGCGACTCGCCTTGATGGGCTCAAAGCAGTCGAGCCCAGGATTGAGAGCAGTGAGGTTGCTGTTGGTGAGGCCCAGCTGCGTGCTGATGGACCAGCATGTGTCGCTCTGAAGGGTTGAAGAATGGGAGTAAGGCACAAATGTCTGCGGTGAATGAAGTACAGTTTACTATGACCAATTCAAATTAGGCTGAGACGATAAAGACTGCCTTGCTGAGCTCAAAACAGATGACAAAGCTCATGGTGAGCGTGTAAAGGACAGCAGGAGACAAGGTATAACACATAAGCCCTGGAGGCAAAGCAAGACGTCTGTACTTCGTGCAATGCTGAAGTAGGTTGGGTTGCTAGATTGGCCAAGGGAACAAGGGCTAAAGCTCACGCTGATGGTGTAGAAGAATGCGGTGCAGGGAATGAGGAGGGAATTCTCTAGTTGAAGCACCACGTTACGAGGCAAAGGGCGACTGCAGTCAATGGCCTGCGATGAGGAGCACAAACGTATCAGAAATTGAATTATAACCAAGTTACGGATTCCGTGGGACTACTGCGTGCATTCAAATCACCCAATAACTTCAGTAGAGTCCTCAGGACATTGCAGCTCATGCTTTCCTGCTGTGTCACAATCTCTGCCTGCACCTCCACTCTTCTAGACTCGCCATCTCTACTGCTTACCGGATTATTCTGCGTGAATTGTGCAAGTGAGAGGCCCACAAGAGGGAGGACATCAGAGCACGACCAATTGCTTCCACTCACTGCCAAGGTGCTGGCCGTGGTGTTGGCTGAAGAAAGATGAGATAGAAAGAAGGGGAACACACCAAGAAGAGGGGCTTAACTGAAAACCAACTTACTAAACTTATGTACAGATCAAACTGCAGACAATCAAACTGCAGCCGTTTTTGGCCGTCCGCTTCAATTATAACCGATTCAGTTCGTCATCAAACCAGTTCGGTTTGGTGATTCTCTCATGGCTACCAAAGAGCACAAGCAGTTTGAGAGGGTCGCGATGACCTCAACATTTGGTACAATAATAATCGGAAAAAGTAGTGACCATCTTGCAAACAAGGCCAAAGAGCAGCACCAGGGTCGCAGGTGGGGAAGCTGTCAATGATTGTGCTTTCAACGTAGTTGGGAGGGCAGATGCAAGAGTAGGAGCCCTTGCCGTCGTTGATGCATGTGCCCACATAGCAGGGGCTCTTCAAGTCAGACCCACACACGTCCACTGGCAGGCATTATGAGCCACAATTGTGGAGCACAGGGATGAGGCGAGAAGAGACATACATGTGTTGAGAACAACAGGAAGAGTGCGTGGAGGGAGGAGTAGGAATTTGAGAAACCCCAAAAGATAGCAGAATCCGGGTTGAGAAAAGTTTTGACGAACAAACCAGACGAACAAACTTTTGACAACGGTCACGAATGAACATCATTGTTTCAGGACCAAACCACTTACAATAGGCACAAGTTTGGGATCCGTATCCATTTGCAACTTGAAAAAATGGCTGCCTGGCTTCATTCGGAAGCGAGCAGTTACACGAGTTGGTGTTACTGCGTAGGTTAACTCGGCATGTGAACCGCCCACACGGGTTCATGCTGGGCTGCAGGTCGCCGTCACCCTTGAAGCTCCTGTGGCCGCACAGGTCCTTGGGAACTGGAGGGTGGTACAGATGAGACGAGGAGTAGTAGAAACGGGTTTAAATGATAGAAATGGAGCTCGTAACATCAAATGCAGCTTCATTAAAAAGTCAGTAGGGATGAGGAAGGGGCGAACAGGAACGTGTTCGCGTTCGCCCATGCACGAACACCCCTGCTCGGCGAACCAAACACTGTTCGGTTCAGCGAACACCTTAGCAAAAACAGGTGTTTGCCGTTCGCCTATGAAGGCGTGTTCGGGCGAACCTCGAACACGTTCGTGTTCGTTGCGGGGCAAATCACAGCAGCGACCCGAACAAAAACGTGTTAGGGCGAACCTCGAACACTGTTCCGCGAACACTTTAAGCCAAAAAAATGTTCGAGGCGAACTGAACATGTGTTCGTTTTTTTGCTCATCCCTAAAAGACAGCATGCAGGAATCAGAAAGGCTAGCCAAGTGAGAGGTGTAAGGTCGGGAAAACGTGAGTTGGAAACTCACCACCTTACGAACATGGACAGCACTGCCTCACACTCTCTTCTCTCCATGTCTCCAGTCCACCCTACTCCATGGCTGTGATTTACATCTTGTTCTGTGCCTTTCATTTGGACCAGTGACTGTTGGCCGTGTGATGTACTTGAGTTGAAGGGATGAGGAGATTGAGATACGACAAAGGAAGTTGCTTCACTCAACGGTAGGTGCCTCACTCTTGACAATGGGGTAGATGCCAGGCAGCACGTTGATGCCACACACGCCATCACCTCCCTGAATGTCCATACGCATGTGGCCTCTGTCACCCCACTCCACTCCCCACGAGTTGCGGATAATCCAAAATGGGGGTGCAATGCGATTTTGGCTGCCGTCATTTCTGAAGACGAAGTAGCTAACAACGAGTACAACGTGGTTCAGTCTGCCGGTGTAGCAGCAAGGATCCTGGTACTTGAAGGTCTGAAGAGAAAGAGGGACATCACAACAAAGATGGGAATGGGTGTTTTAAAAATGTACAGATTGATGTGGGTAACAACTTTTGTAAAACATTTTTTCAACGTATGCACATCATAAAGGGTACATGCAGGCACCACCCACCCCGTCATATTGCGCGAACTCTCGAGCAGAAGCCTCTATGTGAACCACCACTGGCTGTCGTCGAACTGCCAGCATGAGCCCCACAAACCCCTTGAATCGAGTGCGCTCAAATGCGTGAACAGGGTACTTCTTATTCTGAATGTTGACAGCTCAAAGGGAATTTCGCAACAAGTTGGAAGGAAGAGAAATAAACACATTAAGAGACCTCAACAGAAAGAGAACAACATTTGCTTGCTGAAAATGCATGCAACAAGTAAAGGCTAACCTGGTTTAACCTAGCCAATTCTAGCAAGCAGTACAACATTGGGGTGCATAGTAAGGTGGTTACAACATATGGAATAATCTCATTTAACTTGAAATGTGCTTGTGTTATGGAACCTCAAACATGGGTTCTAACAAGAGCAGGAGTCATAATGTGTTTCTAGATATATTGCAAATAGTGTTCAAGGTTGTATTGCGAATATTAATCGAATACACTCAGCTTTCACTTTTCTATTTTTTTTAATATATTCATCAGAGTTCTAGTCATCCCTCACCTAATCGATTTGGTCTGGAGCGTGAAAGCTTTATCTCCTCAGCCCACAGTGTGCACAAATCCCTTGATCACTCGAGCATGGCAATAACACTTGATGAACGGATAATACATAATGCAAATAGCATGCTCCGACAAATTCGTATAAACATTTGACTTTTCAGTTGAGCCTTGAATGCCACGCGAATACCGAGTTGTTTGTTTACAGGCTCAGGCAGCCTTCTCTCCGTTCGTCGTGGTAGAATCTGTTTGTCGTTTGCATGAATAAATTGGGCCTTTTGGCTCGACCAATCCATTTTAGCATATCCAGCTTCAAGATAAAATTATGCTTTAGAGAAATTTGTTCAGCTGTGTTAGAGAATTCAACCGCTGACAACAACTAAGTCTAGAACTCAGAGAAGAGCCTTTGTGTCACTAGTTGTAGTGTCGTTGCAACTCATCTCAACATCAGGCACACTACTCAGAGTTCTCAATTCTCTCACAAACATCTATCCTTTCTAACCTTCTGCTCTTGCACCACACTACTCACAGGTGCGCCAGCCTCTGTGATTCCGCCATTGGGCAGCGTGAGAAGAGTTTCCAATGCCTCGTTGGGGGAGCCCCCCGTGCTGCACTTGTCAACCTTGGAAGTGAGCCCCATGGCTGCAAAGAGCGACTCTACTGACAGCTGCGGCGCCTCTCCATTCGTTGCAATGCCGTATGCCGCTTCCACACTCGCCACCAGCGCAAACGCCCAGCAAGCATCTGGGTATGACAAGAACAGTTTCGTGAATAAACAAAGTGGATTCGAAGAGTGTTAAATCAAAGTAGTGAATAACCAGAGTGGATCCTAAGCACGTATTGAGCCGAGTATTACAAGATGTCTGGCTGAAACATGTGGTCAGCAGCAGAGCAGCAGGTGGAGAACAAAGAGATTGTAGCAACCATCAACGACACACCAGCGAAGCTATTGGCTCCAACATGCTTCCCAGGTTCGCCATTTATTTCACTCACTGCAGTCCTTCTGGTCCTTGACGGGCCAGCCGAGAAAGGGCACGGAGTCCCAGGAGTGGAAGTCGCTGACAACCCACGAGTCCTGCTTGCTGGGCGCCACTCGGTAGTCCGCACTCACGTAGCGCGGGAAGGGGCTGGCCCATGCTGGCATGTACGTGTTTGTTAATAGCTGCAGGCCATAGGCTGGGATGCTCTCAAGAGTTGCATGATGGGGGAATGAATGGGATGTCATGGACACAGGTTGTGCCAAGGGCAATCTGAACTGGGACAATCAATCATAAGTACAGTCAAGTTAGTTTCCCATACTTTGCTGGGCTGCATCTCTTCACTCATAAAATATGGTTGTTGGTTGATTGCCATTTCACATCTATCTAACAGTCTAACAGGCTCTACGTTCCACCCTGCTCCATTTATTCCACCCCCTTCGACAACTGTATTGTATTTAGGCACCTCCCCCAATTCGGTACACCGTAACGTTGCTCAGCTTCCGTTTTTTTATTCCTATTCAGTTGTTTTAGACATGGTATATTGTAAACATGATCTTGGGATGTTGGTTGGTCCATAGTGCACCATTTACCACCTTGGCTGAATATTCATACTCGTACCTTTTCTATCAAAGGCATACGTATTCAATATCACAGGGGCCAAAAGAAACAAGACAAGGTACATGGACATGGAGAGTGGAGTGAAGGATGCAGGATACAAACGAGAGAACCAAGCACGAGCATGAGAAAAGATCTCTCACCTGGAGTACGTGTGACTGATCGGGGAGAAGCAGGAAGGCCTGGGAAAGGAGAAAGCAATTGGAGAAAAAAGGATTTGTGTTTAGGCCCTAACCACTAACCAATTGGCAGTTCAACTCGTTCGTTTTTCAAAATGCTTGTCAAAAGGGAGAGTAACGAGTCAGGTATGAGTATAAAAAAAAAAATTGGTCAAGCTTTACTTGACTAATCAAGACTTGATCGACTCAGCATAAAAGGGAGTCGAGAAAAAACTTGACTCGTGTAGGTGTTCTGCTCATATCTATGCTAACATGTGTCCACTGTAGATTCAAGAATGACGTGCTTCTGAAACGGCTTCACGGTGGTGCAGGCCACAAAGCCAAAGAAGAAGGTGTGCTGCTCCGCCCCACCCTGCAGCACCTCACACAGCGCCAGCCTCCTCTCCAGCACCGCCTTCTGTGGCTTCTCCTACGAGTCAGCCAGGAAGACCTGGATGGTGTCAGGGTCCCCCGGCTCATAGTCCAGCCATGCTGTGTATGCCTTCTTGCTGCTTAGAGGGAATGGTGACAGCACAGCGGCTATCGACTTGTCCTCGCCTCGAACGTTCAGCCCCACATGCTGGGTGCGCATGTCGCCGTGCTGCTTGTCCTACCGAGTGTCAAACTCAACTGCCACACTCCGCTTGTCCATTCCCCCATACCCCACACCGGTGCCTCTCCCCACCCGGTCGGTTGCCGAGACAACAAAGGCAAAGCCGTTGAAGCCAACGCGACCGGATTGAGGAAAGAGGGAGAAGCTGAAGTTGGCATGGAAGGCGAGTTGCAGCCCACACCCTGACAGCGCCTGCCCTGCCTCATACACAAACAGCGTCACTGGCGCTGCCGTGAAGCTCCCCCTCGTCTCCCGCTGTGTCCCTTTGGTGAGCGCAGAAGCTGGTGGGAGAATCAGCTGGCTGCTAGAGTAACTCCTGTTTTGGCCTACACAAACAAATGTAAAAGACGGACAGACACGAATGGGATATGGAGGCATGAGAAGGTGCAATGACGTGCAAGGCTTACAAAAACAAACAAGGTCGAACAGGTTAATAAAACCAAGTTATTGGAGTGCATGTGGTTTGGCACAAATTTACCACCATTCTGTGAATCTGCAGTCATGTTCCATCGACTTCAAGTGGCGCCCCTACCTTGAGCAACACAGCCGATGTCTCTAGATCGCACGAATCCTGCATCACACAGACATGTGGGTGCCAAGCTAGGCCCCTGTGGATAGCACACCCCATGTCCACCACACGCAGCAGCACCACCAGCTACAGAAGAGACGCCACAGAATGCATTGCATGCTGCCTCCTGCCGCTGCGGCACCAAGGCAGAGCCCAGTGGCAGCGTGAAGCAGTTGGCATCAAAAGAAAGAGGTTGGCATGCCCCGTTGGGCAGAGGGCCCGAGAGGAAGTTGCTGGAGAGATCCAGGGTGCGCGCAGCTAGAGGCTTCAGTGCGCGGCCGGTAAGGTAGTTGTGAGAGATTTCGCTGAAGGGGGGAGGGGCAAGTGACGGGAGAAGGTTGGATGAGAGTTGCCTCAGTGCAAGTTATTCTGAGAAAGTGGAGTGCAGGGAGTGAAGATGAAATTAGTTGTTGAGTAAGAGTGGGAGTCTGGAGGAGGGAGCAGAAGGGGACGAACATGTGCTGGCAGAAGAGATGAATGGGAAGAAGAATGACGAGTCAACTAGAAGCGGAGCAAAAGGGAAAGTGGACGTGGACAAGGAGGAGGCAGAAGAGGAAGAGGAAGAAGAGGCATATGAGGATGGTCGGGTGAGACGAGCGAAGTAGGAGGTGAAGAAGAGAAATGAGGAAGCAATATGAGAGATGACAATGTGGAGAGGGGTCTACAGAGCGCTGGCTTCGCATCCACGGCATGTGGCATCCACGGGCATGTGACATCCACGCCATGTGGCCTCCACAGGCATGTGACATCCATGGCATATGGTATCCACAGGCATGTGACATCCACGACCATGTGGCATCCATGGGACCATGTGTATGTGCCAACCATGGGTATACATGTGGTGTTGCATAGGGAATGCTTTCTTGATTGGTACTGAATGGTGTTCATTGTTAACCTCATATTTAAACTTTCCCCTTAGTTCTTGTTGAATGTTATTTTCTTGTCCGTTGTAATTAGAGAGCATGCATAACATGGTAGCCTTAGTCTATGATGGATTATACGCTTATAGCGCATATACGCGTGTCATATATACGCTAGTGTGTGCACGCTATACGCAGGAGGGGTCTGCTCAAGCATACGCTTTTCTGGGCAGGTAAAAACATTTTACGGGCAGGGCAAAAAAACACTCCGGGAGTGCAAGGGGGGTTCTGGTGGGATGTGCTTTTACAATTTTTTTTGCCCTCGTTATAAAACTATTCCATGGCCATACATAGAACATCAATGTGACTCACTACTATCTTCTCTACTCTACCACCACCACTTACCCCCTTCTTGACCCCATAGTCTTTCTACTTCTCAAACTCGTCCGCCAAGACTTCGTCATCACCTTCCTCCATCTCATCCGCGACCTTGTAGCCAGCGGGGATGGGCGGCTCCACCTCATTCCCGCGAACGATTGAGGGCATCACATCATCACGCGTGTGCCAGTTGCGCACAACGTTCCAGTTGTGTGCAACGTACACCAAATCCGTGCATTTGGCGGATTCAACATGGTTCCGGCGGGCAGTGTGGACTGATTCCCACCCTGCCCAACCACGCTCACAAGGAGAAGCTGAGACGGGTTGCGAGAGAACCCTTACGGCGAGCGCCGTCAGCTGGGGCGCATCTGCCCTGTTCCATGTAACCATGCTGTAAGTGCCCGCCTTTACCTTCTCCCTCTGTGCAATAGCGTCAGCCATCCCAAAACTCCCTTTGAGATCAAGGGAAGACCTCAACTGGTCCCCCAAGGTGAGCAAGTAGTCGCACTCATCATCCCCCTCCTTCCGACGGCTGCTGCTCAGGAACTTCGCATGGTTGGAGATGAAGGCCTTAAATATCCTAGTCCATTCGGCATTCCCACCAAGTATGTCCTCCGATTGGTTGGCGGGGTTGAGGATGCATCGTGCCACGTGCATGGCGCACGCAAGACTCCCGTCCCACCTGTTTTTCAAGATGTGGCAGATCTGCTGATTGTCATTGTTGCTCAACTGCCCCTCATCCGCGTCGACAAGGTCCCCTACATTATCGGTGAGTTGGAGCCTAATGTCATATATGCGCCGCATCATCCCCTTAGTGCTCCCATCCGTCTCACGCATCGCAATGTAGGGGAGCTTCATGAGCTTCACGAAGAATTCGGCAGCCTTTCACCAAGCCGTCGAGTACCAGTGCGTCAAACCCCTCAGCAGCCACCTTCCGCGTCCACAGCCCACTCTTTCCACAGGTCGAAGAGCACCATCTGGATAAGGGAGTTACAGACCTCACACAGTCGGGACACAACTCTATACTGTGTCACGAAGCGGGTTCCTGCTTGCGTCAAGGCCTGCAACACGGTTCCCCCGACCAGCTCCGGTGTCCGCAAGTACCCCCGCGTCCAGTGGTGATTGCGGACGAAGGACGTCATCTCCGCAGCCCGATCCACCACCCTTTTCGCCCACCCAAGCTTCCCCACCCCACGTCTTCTCAGAGAAGATCTAACAGGTGGGTCGCACATGAACTTGCTGAATGTGGGGCCATTCAGCATTCAACTGCTGGCACACTACCGCGTAATTGGAGCCCCCGTCCGTACAAAAAGCCACGATGTTCTCCGCCCCCACCTCCTCCACCCCGGGCCTCAGTAACCCCGCCCCTGTCTTCTTCTCCATGTTACAGTCCACGCACTCCACCAACACGGCGCCCGCCTTGTTAACGAGGAGGAAGACATTTGCTTGCGGCCTCCCGTTTCTGTCCGTCATCATGTTGGACACTACGGTAACTCATGTTTTTTTTCCAGCTTGCCTTGATGCCCACCGACCGGCTTTCAATGCCTTGCCAGCAAGCTTGCACACCGGTACCGCCGGTGTACTTCTGCCCTCGAGAAACATAGCCGTGGCCGGCGCGGGCGACGTCTTTGATTGCGTTGACGAAGAGAGGATAGTCGACGATCTGCTCCATGATGTGACATCCGGCAAACATCAGCGCAAGCGACCGAAGTGCTTCGTGTTTTTCCGCTGCTGCGTCACCCTCGAGATAGTCGGTCATGCGGGCCCGCTTCCCACTGGGTTTCACCGCGGCAATCGCAGCCTCAGTGGATCGGCGCCTCTCCTCTGCATCCGTAGCCTGCTTCTCGTACTCGGACTTCATTGCAAGGCGAACATCAGCCGGGGCCTTCTTGCAAACAGACACCTCCCAGCGCTTCATCTTCTTCCATGAAGTCAGGTGCTGAGCCCAACGGATGGCGGCACCTGTGAACAAATTGAAGAAGAATTTGAACTCGTACTGTTGTGCCTTGCCCTCCTCCCGGTTGATGATACTGAAGTGCCAAAACACTTTGTGATCTACATTGGCAAGGTATTCCCTTGACGCAGCTGGACGAGGCCCCGAACTCTCCACAGACTGGACGAAGGCGGCGTGAGAGGAGGAGAGCTGGACATAGTCGCGAATGGATACAAAGTAGGATAGGACCGCGCTAACTAGGTAGCGGGAGTTGAAAACGAATGACATTGACATTTTGAGCAGTGGCTTAATAGCATGTAGAGTGACGGTAATGAGGGGACGAGCGGTTGGACTCAATAGATGCTGTGGTTTTGAATGTGGTGAAGTGGTGGGCTTATTACGTGAATACGTGAAAGCGCGACTCCAGATACTTGACCTTGCCATTGTGAACATGCAAAATGTATTGGTGGAAATCGCGACTCCAACCTGGACCCTCCAGGACATTGAACCCACTTTCCAGCCAGGACAGACACGTGACGTGCAATCTGACTTTGCAGAAGTGCTCGTTGTGCAATTCCGCAGGTTTTGAGCTATTCGTTTTTTTTGGGTCGGCGCGCTGCCTTGTTCAAAAATTGGGCTGCGTATAGCGTTTTGCGTGACACGCTAGCGTACAAACGCTAAACGCAAAGGGTCCAAAACGTACAATCCTCATAGGGCATTAGTTGGCACTAAGCATTGCCTTGTTGTCCACGTACAGAACTGGAGGAGAACGAAGCCGCTCCCCCAAGTCGGTCAGCAGGTAGGTCAGCCAGCGTAGCTCCTGTGCAGCCATGGCCCCAGCGTAGATCTCACCCTCACAGCTGGAACCAAGCACAGAAGAAGAACGAGTGGACCTCAACGAGACAGAACCAGAGCCAAGACTGAAGGTGTAACCATGTGACGAACGCTGAGTCGTCTAGTCGTCGGCCCAAGAAGCGTCAGAGTGTCCTGTGAGGACCACCGAACCCCATCCTCCAAGCACGAGCCCCATGCCTGATGTGCTGCACAAGTAACGCGAGGAGGTAGATTCGTCCGAAGGTGGAGCTTGTGAAAATAGGAAAACAGGAAATGAATGAACTATGAATGAAAGCAGTACAAATATGAAACCCTAACTGGGTTGTACCCCTTATGGGATACCCCACTACAGCCTACACAGCAGTATAAGCTATAGATATGTTCTGACACACCCCCATAGGCAAAGTGGGGGAGAACAAGGGGTCACAAGACCAGTCAAGCAAGACAAAGCAAAGCTCAGGGTGGATCACAAAGTCACCACACAGTCCGAGCACAAGAGCAAGGCCAAAGGCCAGTTCACAAGCAAGAGTACAGACATATATATAAAGCTAGACAAGCAAGAGCAGGTATATATATATGTCACAGTACAAGTGAAGTCAAGAGGAGAGCAAGTGAGGCAAGACAGGCACAAGACCCAGCTGGGTGCAGAAGCGCTGATGGTCACAAGGCGCAAGTGCCTTGGTGAACACATCAGCAGTGTTGGCCTCAGAGGCCACGTACGCAAGTCGCAACTGACCACGCTGCTGCAGCTCACGAGCAAGGAAGTAGCGGAGAGCAATGTGCTTCGTTCTGTGCTCCAAGCGCTGCTCTCGACACAAGGCCAGCATAGCCTTGTTGTCTACGTACAGCACTAGAGGAGAACGAGGCGGCTCTCCAAGGTCAGTCAGCAGGTAGGTGAGCCAGCGAAGCTCCTGTGCAGCCATGGCCCCGGCGTAGATCTCAGCCTCACAACTGGAGCCGAGAACCGAAGACGAGCGAGTAGACCGCCACGAGACAGAGCCGGAACCAAGGCTGAAGGTGTAACCCTGTGACGACCGCTGCGTAGCCTGGTCGTCAGCCCAAGAAGCGTCCGCGTGGCCGGTAAGGACCACTGGACTCCGCCCTCCAAGCACTAGCCCCATGCCTGACGTACTGCACAGGTAGCGCAATACCCTCTTCGCTGCAGCCATGTGCTCCGGTCTGTGTCTCCCAGGAGCAACATAGCGTGCAAGAATGCTCAGAGGGTATGCAAGGTCAGGTCGTGTGCAGGTCATCAGGTACATGAGGCAGCCAACAAGCTCCGCATACGGACCACTCGACTCTACGGACTCATCCGAAGGCAGAGCTGAGAGTGAGTGGCGAGTAGGCAGAGGAGTGGCCTGAGGCGAGGAGTACGTGAAGCCGAAGCGCTGAAGGACCTGCTGCACCATGTGTGACTGAGTCAAGGTAATGGTGCGGCGTGCTCTGTCCCGAGTGATCTGCAAGCCAAGGTAGCTGCGCAGTTCACCCAGGTCTGTGCACGTGTGTCTCTTCAACAGCTCGGACTTCACGTAGGCGAGTCCAGCAGTGTCCGCTGTGGCAAAGACCAGGTCGTCGACGTACACGAGGATGTAGAACGGCGGCAGGGAAGTGTCGGTGCGAAGAAACAGCGACGGGTCAGCAGTAGAAGGAGCAAACCCAAGAGCCGCAAGCGTAGTCCTCAGTGTGTCGTGCCACTCACGCGGTGCCTGGCGGAGACCGTAGACTGGCCGTCGGAGGCTCCACTGGGTGCCAGGAGGGAAAGTCCCAGTGAAGCCAGGTGGACGGCGAAGCCAGATCTCCTCGTGCAGGCTACCCTGCAAGAACGCAGTGCTGAAGTCGAGAGAGTGAAGCTCGTAGTCGCGCTGAGCGGCTATGTGCAGCAGCACCCGAAGAGTAGTCATCTTGGGGGTGGGAGAGAAGGTCTGAAAGTAGTCAACTCCCTGCCGCTGACTGAAGCCACGAGCAACGTACCGTGCCTTGAAGACAGGTGGAGAGCCCGGCGGCCGCTTCACCCTGAAGATCCACATGCCACTGACGATGTTCGCCCCAGGAGGGGGAACCGCGTCAACGTAGGTGCCTGTGGACTTCCAGGAAGCCATCTCTGCATCCATAGCTGCCTGCCACTGAGAGGAGTAGGGACCCTCTACGGCCTCCGCGTAAGAACGCGGAGTCGGGATGTCTAGTGCATCCGGGTCTCCCTCAGGGGCAAGCAGTACAGACGCGAGATGAGGTGAAGCAGCTGCTAGACACTGTAACTCCTCCTGCCTGTCCTCTAGGACGTCCGTGCCAAGAGCACACTCACCCCCGACGGACGGAGGACAGACAGACGCAGACTCAGCAACAAGACTAGCAGCGTAGTCGAGACGACAGCGAGCAGCAAAGTCAACGAGCTCAGCGACTAGAGCAGACGCAGCAGTGGACTCAAAAGAGGGGTCAGTGACGACAGTAGCAAGCAGACGCGTGACAGTGGGACTGGCAGCACGAAGAGAGTCCGACTCAGGGTCCGCAAGCGCAGGAAGAGAGGACTCAGGAGGAGAAGGCAAAGGGGCACGCAGAGGAGCAGTGGACGGACGTAAAGACATCCGGTGCGTGCCAGGGACAGGAGGAGGACGCTGACGCGAACTGCGACCACTAGCGCGAGCAGCACGAACAGGCGACGCGGGACGAGACGCAGGCTCACGACGCTCAGCAAGACCTCCAGTAGGACCAGTGTAAGGAGAGGGAGCAGGCAGTGGAGAGGAAGGCTCTAGTAGGGGCTGCGACTGGACAGGCGGTGGACCCTCTACTGGAGGAGAAAGACCAAGAACCTGCTGAAGGAGCGGAACGAAGTACGGCCGAGGCCGCGCGGCAGCTCCAGACTCAGCAGGGACAGCACCAGCACCCTCAGCGACAGCACCAGCGCCACCCACACCTCCAGCGGCAGGACCAACAGCAGCAGGCTCAGCACGAACGCCCTCAGCAGCTCCAGCTCCAGGAGGACCTGCAGGGCCAGCAGCTCCGGGACCGGCTGCACCCGCACCCTCGACGGTCGAAGAAGCTCCAGCTCCAGCTCCAGCAGCACCTCCAGACTCAGCAGCATGCCTCCAGCGGCGAGCGAACCACTCGCGCAGCTCCTGTGGAGAGAGGGGCTCCCGGCGAGACGCAGCAGCAGGAGAAACCCCAGGCTCAGCAGCTCCAGACGCAGCACCCCCAGGCTCAGCAGCTCCCAGCTCAGCACCCCCAGGCTCAGCAGCTCCCGACCCAGCACCCCCAGACCCAGCACCTCCAGGCACAGCACCCCCCGGCTCAGCACCCCCAGGCTCCGCACCCTCCGCAGTAGCACCCTCAGGCCCAGCACCCCCAGCAGTAGCACCCCCAGGCTCAGCACCCCCGCGCACAGCACCCCCAGAGTCAGCACCCCCAGGCTCAGCACCCGCAGCAGCACCAGAGTCACCAGTAACCTCGACCGGGTCAACGGCGTCTACCTGGGACACACCTGAGGGGGCAGGAACCTGAGGGGGGAGGGGGTCTACCGGGGGGGGAACCGGCACAAGGAAGTCCGGGGGAGGGGGGAGGGAAGGAGTGCGGTAGGGGAAGAGACGGTAGAAGGGGACTGACTCGTCGAACGTGACGTCCTGGGAGGACAGAACACGACGAGAGGAGGGGTGGTAAAACTGCCACCCTGGGGCGTCAGTGGGGAAGCCAAGGAAGACACAGGGAGCAGCACGAGGGGACAGCTTGTCCGCAGACAAGTCGCGGACAAACGCCCGAGATCCCCAGACACGGAACACAGACGCATCGCCAACCTTCCCCGTCCACAGCAAGGCTGGGGACATCGCTGGCCGAGAGACCCGGGGGTGAAGGTTGAGCTGATGCGCCGCGTACCTCACCGCAAACGGCCACAGAAAATGGGGGGCAGCCGCATGCATCATGGACGTACGAGCGACATCCATGACCATGCCAATGCGGCGCTCAGCAATCCCATTTTGCTGTGGTGAGTCCGGAAGCGTGAAGGTCTGGCGGATCCCCCGTGCACGACAGTAGTCTCGCAGAAGGCGAGAAGAGAACTCTCCGCCTCTGTCAGAGTGCAGACGCAGAACAGGAAAGTCCGAGTCGAAGCTCTTCCTGAGCTGGAGACGAGCCTCGCGGATCCAGTCGATCAGCACCTCAGT